TAAGGGTTTAGGGCTGAGGGCTTGGGGCTTAGGGTTTGGGGCTTAGGTTTTTAGGGTTTGCTGGCTTTGGGTTTGGGGTTTAGGCTTAGGGCCTTGAAGCAGGTGGATACCCTGAGAGCTTCGAGAAGGGCTATCGGGCCCGGGCCACCGAATTTCAGAAGCTTAGGGCTTTAGGCTTTAGGGTTTAGGGGCCACAGAAAAGAGAACCAAAGGGGTTCAGGGCTTGGGAGTTTGTGGGGTTTTAGGGGTTTTGGAGGTTTTAGGGGTTTAGGGTCCAAGGCTTTAGGGTGTTTCGGGTTTAGGATGTACTTTACCTTCTGCCTCCCTCAGCCTCACATATCCCTTACGTCTTGTGTAATCCTTAGAGGAGGAACCGAGTCAGAAGTGCCCTGCTACGCTTCTTATCAATTCTGACGTGAGCCCCGCAAAATTGCGGTTTAGACATATTTGGATCCCGGGAATGTATTCCGCACTATTGAGGATAAATGCTGAATTACCAGTCATGGCGGTGCAGGCCCGGTAACTTTACAAGGGATGTGCTTGATTTTTGTTGGGGCTTCGGAGGTTAGATTTATCGGGTCCGACCCTGTTTAGGCACACCGTGCATTTGGGTCGAATGTTCGAGGCATCCCCCTTCCCCACCAACCGTATGAGTAGTTCTCCAAATCAGGGGTCCCGTTTAGGGTCCTCTTTTTAAGCGTGCTGTACTATTTTTGAGACCTGAAAGGGGCCCTAATTTAGAGAACTACCCATATCGTCCGTTATATTAATATACCTTCTGCAGCAGAAGTCGGCAGCGCTTGCTTGCTTGCCTGGTATCTGCAATGGCATATTCGACCAGATCAAAAGTGATCCTGTTGTTTAAATAACCGTCATGGATATCATCCTCGGCTCTTAAGCTTGCGCCATCTCTGCACTCCATTGTCTTCGGGATCATAGCCCCCTTCATTGATGCCGCCTGCCTCTCCTGCCCGCATTTGCTTTTATTGTCATTGATATGGGCATTTCGCCATCATCACTGTCATTATACTGACTGCTGCTCTTAGAGCAGTATTCCTTTCTAGTCTTACCATTGCCATTTCTCAGGTCGGAGATTGGTCCCCGAAGAAGAACCCAAACGAGTAGGGTCCGTCTATACCGAACCCTTACAATAAGAGAGCCCCTGGAGCCGCCCTAAACCCGCCTCACATCTCTACTCAGATCCTTACCAAACCTCAGAAAGACCTTTTTGAAACCGATAAGCACTTGTAGAATCCTGCAGGAATCCTACAATGCCCTAACTTACACGAACCTTAAACCCTAAACCCTATAAACTATAAACCCTAAACTTCCCTAAACCCTAAACCCTATAAACCCTAAGCCCTAAACCCTAAACCCTATAAGCCCTAAACCCTAAACCCTTCATCATAGCCTTGGTGGCAAGCAAAGCCAGAGACCCGAACTGCAGATCTCGGGCCTCGAGCGCGCCTGCATCGTCCCTGGCGTCACCATCTTCCACGCAGGAACCAAGCCGGCAGGGGGACCTACTATGGGGTTTAGGGTTTAGGGTTTAGGCCTACTCTATGGGGCCTAGATAGTTTACCAAGACTGTTTATGAGGGGGTTCCTTTTGATAAGGGTAGCATAGAATAGAGGGCCCCGAAGCCCATAAGGATAGCATAAAGGGCCCCGAAGCCCCTATTCTATTTTTTAAGGCCCTATATATCACAGAGTTAAAATGCGTGGCTTCGGATCCATGAAGATCCGTGGCGAGGCAAAGCCGTATGCTGCTGATAGGCGTCTTGATGACCGTGATGCCGCTGAGGATCTTAGTCATGCTTGATGCTGCTGCTGTTGATGATGGTCGCCATGATGACATGCCCCCAAGTTCAATCTCCAGCATTTGCGAAAGGTGGACAACACCAGCTTGCGGCTGGCCGCGAACGGTGGGTCCGGCGCATGGAGCTCAGATGCCTGAGGAACCGGAAGCCTGTCGGCTTGCTTCCGGGTCTCAAGCTTTTCCACAATCCCATGCGCTGGTGAGCTGCGCTGCAAAGGGTTCGAGAGGGGCTTGAAATCTTACAGGAGGCTCCTCGGAGAGAACTTGGGCAAGTAACAGGGTCGATGAACACGCAGGCCTTGCAGCGCATGCTCCACCATCGGATGATGACTCGAGGCGGGATTGGCATTTCGGAGTTCAGGGTTGGTGATCACCGTCGAGATGTCAGGAGACAAAGGGATGGCGAGCATGGGATCCGACAAGCATGCCGTGGTTCGCTTTTCATCACGACTGCATGAGCAACGGCAGTAGCACCAGCTTCGGTACTTGGACCCGTAGGGTTCTGAAACCCACAGTCAATTGCAGTAGGAGTAGCAGCGTCGCCAGCATGATCTCATTTTATTCAGTTGCCGAATGGCTGCTTCAATCAAGTGCGAAGATCCGAACTTTGAGGAACCCGATGTAGCCTGGTGCTGCTGGCTGTCAGCAACAGTGTTTCTCGAACCAAAGACAGAAGCGACGCAGCTTCACTGCAAAGGTTTTTTCGGTCAATAAACTTCATAGTTTGACGCAGAAGCTGAGTTTAAGCTTTGCACAGGAGACCTGTACATGCATTCACCCCGTCAAGGCGTCACGAAGCCAACCTCATGCCTGACCTCCGGCGGTCGTGTCCTCGCCAGAAGCTAAGACGTGAATGACCCATGAGCTCCACGGGTTTCAGGGTTGCTTCTTGGCTTTGGAACTGCTGCAGGACGTAAGGGAAGGTAGTTCGGGCTTGTGGCTTGGGCGCCTTAGGAAGAGCTCATGGTTATCTGGCTGGTAATGAATCGCCCAACTGCGTGATGTAACCAGCTTTTTGTGGTATACGGTATACAGTGAATACAATAAGGCAAGGTGTATGTGCACGTCTATCGACAGGTAGGCTTGCGCATCTACGTCAAGATAGGGAGAGGACTAGGTGGCTTTCCAACCCGCCGCTGCTCAGAGCACTCCGATGTGGGAGTTTCAGAAAATCAGAAACCCCGATATAAGCCTCTAGCTTTAAGATTTTTGGACGTCTGCCCAGGCAGTTACTGCTGTGGCCAACGGAGGCATCGCCGAAGCACGCGAGCGAGCATACGCCAGGGCCTTCTTTCGGCTTTCCTGGGGCGAGGGACTTTTAGAGCTCTTTTGTACAGACTAATTATCATGGTGTAAGTCTAATGCATGGAGACGCAGGCCGGCTTCATGGTTCCATGATTAAGTTCATCCATCGCGAGGCAAAATAGGGATAGTGATTTCATCGAACATTGACTCGGACAGTGGTGACAGGAACAGCAACAGGAGCAGGTTGCAGTAGCAGTAGCAGTAGCCGTAG